CAACTTTTATCCTAGGGCTCTGTACCATTTCAGAATCTAAGGGAAGCGTGTTTGTGTTTCAGAACACATGCAAGCAACACCTTAAAGCAGCTGTATCTTTTCCCAAGATCCCACCACTGCTTTTCCCAATCCTGAGAAAAAACACATTTGATTTAAAGAGTTACTGTATTGACTATATGGATAAATGCTTGGTTCTGTGTTTGATAAACTTAAATATCATGAGAAAACTCTTTAAAATTTTGCCTCTGTTTTAAATGTATACCCAGCATCTATGAGCAGAGTATTAGCCATTAAAGACTACACTGGGCCTGATTGCCGCTACCTGAGCTTCAGAAGTGGGGAAGAAATAATGGTATACTTCAAACTTTCCAGGAAAAGGGAGGATTTGTGGGCAGGAAGTGTAAGTATTTATAGGCAATAATTTATTTGAGAATGGCTAATTTTATCTGTAATATGACTACAACAACTTAAGGATTCCAAGAGAGTTAGGGTGTTGGGGAGGGAGAATTGCCCCAACCTGCAGACAGGAAGGAGGGTTTTCAAATTTGATTGAATATATTAAATGACTAGATGGATCAATATTTTTTCATTTAAAGTTATAAAATTAATCAATAATATATTTTTGGTTTTCCTGCATATTTCTATTTCCTGGGCAATTGACTTCAATAGTCAAAAACATTGGAAAAAAGAACCAGATTGATGTAGGGTAGAGTGAGAAGTGGTCTCTCTCCCTAGGCATCTCAAAGACTTTAAAAGCCTCAGAAAACACTTGGAAAGTTCATAATTTTTTCAGTCATACTTCTTATTCTAGATTCACTAACAGAAATTCCAGGATATTTTAGGTCCTACATAAAATATACCTTTGTGCAATGCTTTTAAAAAATATTGTTACAAGGAGTTATTTGCAGTTCAGGCAGCAAACATACAAAAATCTATATAAGTGATCAACTGCTTAAAAAATAAGTGTGAATTATCTGAAGGAAAGGTTTTTTTAAAAAAATCATAGCATTTTGAGCTCAATTCAAAACAGAAGAGGCTCTGTCTATAGGCAGAATGAAGGTTGTACCTCACGTGGTTCATACTCAGCTGCCCTACCATGAAAAGGTTTGTTTTTTAATTTATTACTATTTTTTTATTACCTGGCAGTGGGAGAAGGCCTATGTCCCTTGACTTGGGAGGAGGGATACTCTTACTGCTTGCCTCAGGGAGAAAAAAAAAAAGAGTAAAGACTCCTTTGAGTTGACCTCTGCTCCTGGTAACTACCGGATACAACCATGCAGCTTTCTTGGTAACAGTGCAAAATGGTTTGCCTTTGCCTTCTTCTAAAATATGTTCAAGTTCCCAATGTATTCCTTGGTGGTTTCCACCCAAGTACTGATCAAGCCTAATTAGTTCCAAATTTAGAGATCAGCCAGAAGCTGCCATCTGCTGAGATTCCCAGTTTTCACTTATCTTTAAAGGATTAGTTAAGCTCCCCCTACATCACCAATTATTAAGGTTGTCTACAGCCCTGATTTTGGGTCACCTCCTCATAAAAGCTGAAACATTTAATGTCTGGTTTATAATTAGTTCAGGATGTTTGGGGGGAAGATATCAAGCTTTTATTGTTCTTTTTAAATTAAGCTTCAACCCTACACTCTTAGTAGCAGTGAATCCCACTGATCATAATGGATTTCTTCTAAGTAAAATTGTTTTGCTGAAGAAGTTAGATTTCTGAGATCCTTCCATGCAACCAGAGACAAAATTATTCTGCTGTTATATATGTACCTAACATTCTAACTGACTTATAGAAACGGGATAAAAGTATCTCTCTGTCAGGGGTCACCAACTGTTTTTTTGTAGGAGGACACATTTGGAATTTTAAGACCATCAAACATTCCTTTTGTCTGTGTGCACATCTGCAGCTGGACATCCTTTGACTTACTGAAAGCAAGGGAGGGTCTGAATTATCTGCTGTTCAGAGGAGTTCACAAGATCTGATGCATCTGTCAAAATGAGGAAAGCATCATTGCACTATCACAACACAAATTCTGTCCCTTTTGTATGTGCATGTAACATTATGATGCATGTATAAACGTGGAGGAGCTTATGGCTCTCATAATTTGCTCCTCTGCTCCAGATGCCTCTGTTGTTGCTTACAAGTCACCTCTTAGCAACAGATGCTAATTAACATGGACTAACACAGCATGCTGAATTTGGTACCCTCCAAATGTAGTGGAAAGCTACTGCCATCTTGCTCTAGCAATCATAACCAAAAGCAGCATGATGGTCCATCAAATAGCTCTACAGCATCTAATTGCTGAATATTAGATTAACAGGCTTAGCATGTGCCATTTTGCCTCTTGACCTGGTGAATCAAAATACTATTGCACTGCAGAGATTATAATATCCGATTTAACAGTGTTAATGGTGATAGTTTTTGATGTGTTATCAATGTGATGATTAGTATCTTTTTTAATGCTTTTGATTATTATTGCCATTGTTTCTGATAAAATACATTAGAGATATAAGAGTAGATCCTCATCATTAACCTATGCAATTTGACCTATGCAATTCTGGTCCTTTTTTAGTCAGTAATTCATATCCCTATTTCTCTTTAAATTAGACAAAGCTGTTATCAGTTCTGGTGGTAAGATAAAATTATTTCTTTCTAAACTGAAACTGAAACCTGATTATTGACATAAATTGCAAGAAAAATTACTGGCAATAAAACAAGACCACTTCTGATAATGTGCTATGGAATGTAAACTAAACACATACTTTTGTCTGCTTTTAAAAAACAAGAGAGAACAAATTTTCTGAGGGAAAAAATAACTTTATTCCCCAAACATAAGAGAAAAAAATTGTAGAAGTTCCTCTTATAATTTTTGTTTTGTAAATATTTTAAGTGGAAATCACTGTGTGTTCATAAATGCCAAAAATATTTTCCTTTTTTATAGAAAGGCACAGAATTTGGTTATTTCCCAATGGATGCTGTCCAGACAGAAGAAATTTTTGTTACAAAAGAAATAGAAGTACCAACAAAGGTAAATTAAAATGCTTCATTAACATCTCAAATTCTCTAGGGGTATTATTTCAAAGGAAACCCAAGAGGAAATTTGGTGTATTGATTTCTTCATATGAATCCTTCAGTTTTCTGTGTTCATAAAACTAGGTACACTGGACCATGCTTTCCTGATCATGATCTGCCTAAACTTTCTTAAAACATAATTATATGTAGGATCAGACAGCCAGTTTGGTATACTAGTTAAGGCACCAGGCTAGAAACCAGGAGACTGTGAGTTCTAGTCCTGCCTTAGGTACAAAGCCAGTTGGGTGACCTTGGGCCAGTAGTTCTCTCTCAGCCGTAGGAAGCAGGCAAGAGCAAACCACTTCTGAAATCTTGCCAAGAAAACTGCAGGGACTAGTCCAGGTAGTTGCCAGGAGTTAAAAAAAAACACCTTAGAATCATCACTTCAAAAGATGCTGTCCTACCATTTCAGTAGTTCAATCAGCATATCTAATCATGAGTAGATTCCACTTAGTTCATTATGGCAGTTTTATTAAATCACTGGATTATATTGTTGTCTTATAGTAATCAATAAGAGTTTATCTCCAAGGAATCCTGGATTTTTCTCAAAAAGTAGATCATCCATTTGGCAGAAAGACCAAAATCAGATGTGCAAAATGGACAGTGTAGTGGTTAGAGCACCACCTTTGATGCAGGAGACCGGGGTTCAAATCCCAGCTGGTACCTATCTTACCAGTAGGAGTCCTTGGGCAAAGAACCCGTAACGCTTCAACTTCCTACCTCAAATATGAGAGTGATAGGAACGAAGAGAGTCATGCTGGCTCGGATGTCGCCCAGATTAACAAGGTCCACATCAGATGTTGGGGAACCAGGATAATCTGACGATAAGCAGGCTACTGGAACAAACAATACATGGACGAGTCAAGAGAACTTGGAATTGATGGAATGCTACTACAACAGTAGACCTAATAAGAGGGAATATATAAAACGTATGAGGGAAGTATGGATAGACAGAACACCTACATCCATACTAACTGAGAAACAACTAGTTACCCAGCGCTTCAACATAGTGAAGAGGAAGCTATTCTCACAACTTGAGATAGACCAACTACACATTACAACCCGGACTCAAGCAGACTTGGAAGAACAACTGGATATGCACCCAACACCTGAAGCTGGAATGTCACTGCCACCCCTTCCATTACAGAGCACAGCAGCTTATATGAGGCATAAGATCATGGAAAAACTAGCTACAGTCAACCCTCGATACCAATTACCAAGGCTCAGTGGAGAAGTACCATCAGACAGCATGCTAGAAGATGCCAATAGAGCCCTCACGACAATCCCTACTACCACCATAACTCAAACCAATGAACTGGTATATGCTATAGCTGCTGTAATCCTGAAGATGCTTGGCTACACGATCAAGAAGAACAGTAATATATCCCCCCACCCATGGAAAATGAGGTTGGCATCTCAGAGAGAAGTCAGTCAGCTGGTGGAACTACAGAAGGGTGTGGACATTAAGGATAAGACTCAGCTACTGAAAAAATACATAGGCCTGACTCCATCTGAAGCCCTAGAGACTGCTAAACAAAGGCTCACAGAGCTGGCTGCCAGGCTAAGGAGATACACTAGAGAAGCAGAGGCCAAGAAGATAAATGCCCTGTTCTCCAAAGAACCACCAGGCTAAGGAGATACACTAGAGAAGCAGAGGCCAAGAAGATAAATGCCCTGTTCTCCAAAGAACCATCTGAAGTATTCTCCCAACTGCAGTGCACCACACAGTAACAGGAGAACCACTAGCAGCAGAAACTGAACAGTACTGGAAGAACATATGGGAGAAAGAGAAGACACATAACACCAGTGCAAAGTGGCTGCAGGACCTGAAAGCACACCACATAAAACAGTCACCCGAGACTCAAGGTCTAGGCAGACCAATCTGAGCACAGCCTGAATTTACTACAGGAAAGCCTATGACTCAATGCCACACATATGAATCTGTGAATGCCTGGCGCTATACAAAGTCAACAGAACACTAAGGACTTTCCTCAAGAACTCAATGGGACTGTGGAAGACAACACTGGAAGTCAAATCAAGAAAGCTCGCACAAGTGGCAATCAAGTGCGGCATATACCAAGGTGATGCACTGTGCCCACTGCTGTTCTTCATAGGCTTAAACCCCCTCAGCCAAATAATCACAAGGACTGGATACAGGTACAAGTTCAAGAGTGGAATCGCCATCAGCCACTTTCTCTACATGGATGACATCAAGCTGTATGCTAAGAGGGAATGAGACATCGATTCACTAATACAGTGAAGACACTGGGATGCCATTTGGATTGGAGAAGTGTGGCTGGATGATAGCAAAGAGAGGGAAGGTAGTTAAGACCGATGGAGTGGAATTTCCAGTGGGCCACATAGCAGACAAAGAGACCAGCTACAAATACCTTGGTATCCCACAGTCACATGGGAACCACAATGAGGCAGGAAAGAGAGCAACATCCAAGTACCACCAAAGGATAAGACAGTGTAGCTCAGGTTTGAACTGTGGAGTCTTCTGGTCTTTTGTCTCTTTTGAATAGTATGTAGCTGCTGTTTATCTCTATGTGTCTGT